TATGTGGCTTTTGGGCAAGATGTTAAATCCTCCTCTCATAAGTCACTCACTCCCAATCGGGTTCCCAGGAGCTGACAGTTTCTCAGTCTCTAGGTGTAAAAAATGACTTTTTCAGAGCATCAGAGATTAATCCCCTGTTCACTCTTATCTCCAGAGTGAATTCAATAGCCAAGATTTATGTCTTGGCCATCATCAATTACCATGTAATTATCTCTATTGGAAGCCTGCTGACAGAAGGCATTCAGTCCGTCATGTTCTTCCCCCGGAAGTCCAAAAGTAGCCTTACTGGATCAGGGCAAACATCCATTAAGTCTGGAATCCTGTTCTCACAGTGGCAAACCAGATGCCTATGGGAAGCCTGAGTAATACAGATGCGCTCTCCCTACTTGCAATAGCCACCAACTAGCATTGTCCTGTGTCCAACAGTAGAGATAGAACATAGCCTTCACCTTCATGAATTTGCTTAATACTCTTTTTAAAGCCATTTAAGTTGGTGGCTATCTTACCTGCTAAAAAGAGTGAATCAACAGCAAGAAAGGCTCTGGCAGAGGCCTTCCCATTTTTTCACCTCAGTTGGAAGAAATATCAACAACCTCAGATATGCAGATGACACAACCTTGATGGCAGAAAATGAGAAGGAATTAAAGAACCTTTTAATGAGGATGAAAGAGAGTGCAAAATATGGTCTGAAGCTCAACATCAAAAAAACTAAGATCATGGCCACTGGGCCCATCACCTCCTGGGGAAGAAATGGAGGCAGTGAGAGATTTTACTTTCTTGGGCTGTATGATGGTGACAGCAGTCATGAAATTAAAAGATGCCTGCTTCTTGGGAGAAAAGCGATGACAAACCTAGACAGCATCTTAAAAAGCAGAGACATCACCTTGCCAACAAAGGTCCGTATAGTTAAAGCTATGGTTTTCCCAGTAGTGATGAATGGAAGTGAGAGCTGGACCATAAAGAAGGCTGATCGCCGAAGAATTGATGGTTTTGAATTATGGTGCTGGAGGAGACTCAAGAGTCCCATGGACTGGAAGAAGATCAAACCTATCCATTCTTAAGGAAATCAGCCCTGAGTGCTGATCATGAAGCTAAGGCTCCAATACTTTGGCCACCTCATGAGAAGAGAGGACTTCCTGGAAAAGACCCTGATGTTGGGAAAGTTGGAGGGCACAAGGAGAAGGGGACGACAGAGGACGAGATGGTTGGACAGTGTTCTCGAAGCAACCAGCATGAGTTTGACCAAACTACGGGAGGCAGTGGAAGGCAGGAGTGCCTGACGTGCTCTTGTCCATGGGGTCATGAAGAGTCGGACACGACTAAACAACAAGAGCATTAACATGTACAAACCACAAAAAAGGTAAATAGGAGTGATCAACTAAGGTAGTCAAAAAAAAGTTCTGCAAATATCTGTTATTCTTCTCACATGGAGAAATGGAGTTATATAACTCTTTGCCTTTGTTTTTTCATGCGAGAGCAAGCATGCTAATGTTCACAACTCCTCAGCCCTTGCTTTAAGTATGTCAACTGTTCATTTTTAATTGCCCTAAACCTGCTGCATCATGAGGCACATGAATCTTGTAGCTTTACAAAATAGATATCAATTAACCATTAGGGTTCTAGAAAAAAACACCAAGATTATCAGAAGCCTGAAGCATGCTGATAGTGTCATTAAATACTTCAGTCACTAGGTGGCACTAAAGTTTATCTCTGGAGTCAGGATGCTCTCATTGTGAGAGAAATAAAATAAAATAAATTAGTATAGTAGTAGTAGTAGTAGTAGTAGTAGTATTTCTAGTTTAGTGTGATGTGCCCTCTAGGCATCCCGTGGCAATAAGAGCATAATAATAAAATCATGAATACGGAAGGACCATCTATCTACTTACCAATCAAGATTACAGGGTGCCACTGTCAGAAGGATGGTGCACCATACATCACTATAACAAATATCTCTGTAAGCCTGAGAGACAGTGGAAGGAGGAAAACCTTCCTTTTTTCAGAAGGAAATATGCAGGAAAGTGGGGAGAGGGAGATCAGTATCTGTACTGCTTTCTGGGAGCTTAGAATTGAAATTCCTAAAGGGAACTCTCTGCCAGTTTTCCTAGTAGCACACTCAGGAGCTCTTTCTATTTGTTGTAAGCCAAGATGGTGGGGACTTGAACAAATCATAGAAACTGTAAAGAGAAATGTGCCTGTATCCCAGGTACCACTAAAGCACACCAAGGCAGTTTACCATCTGCACACCTGGGCTGCATCCTTTTGTTTGCTCCAGTAGCAATATTACAAAGCTATTATTGCTGTCACTACAGACTATGCTTTCAATTTATTTTTTTGGTAAGGTGTTTTGAAAGCTGAAAAAGGCTTAAATGATCTCAGGTTTAGCCTTTTCAGGTTTAGCCTCATCTTTTCATTTCTTAAAACTCTGGGCTATCTACAAAGCCAGAGATATAACATCTTAGAACCACAGGACAAGAAAGTACTATGAGACCATGTGGTCAAAGGCTTTGTTTGCAAAAGTGAAGCATTTATCCACCTTCACCACAATTTCCCATAAACTAATCTACACTGTCTAAACCACAGCATGCCAGAGGCACAAAGAACAAGTGCACTGCAGGTGTACAAATACATCCAGATAACTCACTCAAGCAAACTAGACCACATATTTTAAGTGGGAAAAGGAAAAAAGCCACCGGAAAATCTAAGCAAAATGAAAATGCCTTCCCAACCTCTAGGGTAGGATAAAACAACAAACGAAACTTGCAGTCGGTTTCTTACCCCAAAGCAAAACTGACTCACTCTAATCATCAGAAATCCTTTTGATGCTTTCTGCTTCTCACCACAAATGATGGTATCAAATATGGCTGCTTTCATTCAACTGTGGGTTTTTTCACTTCCAATTTGAAGAACCAGGATCTTAAATCGGAATCCATCGAATTGTCACAGCAGAGTTCTATATTTTATATCAGAATAATCCATGACTAGCATTGTCATTGTGGAAAAATGAAACCAAGATTTTTAGAGACCCACCAAAGTACCCAAAAAAGAGCAGTCAGACCCAAGCAAAATGGAAATTTAAACAGCAGCAGAGTTATGTACCAGACAAGATCTAAAAACAAGATCTAATATCAAATAGAATGGGGGTAAAGACACCGGCAACGCATTGTGGAAAAAAGGCAAATAGTTTTGTCACTACTGCCTTTCTCCTTGCCCTCTAACGACACAGGTTTGTAACAACTGCTCCTGGTTTCCTCTCATCGTTTCTGATTATTTTCCTCTCATTGTTTCTGATTATTTTCATGTACTTGCATACAAAATGGAAAGTCTATCCATGGAAGCATTGTCTGTCAGTGGGTCCCTGCATTACACTTGATCCCGTCATTACAATCCTGAAACTGGTAATGAGGTAAGGAAATGAGCATATCACTCTCAGATCAGGTGTCTCTCAGAAAGTGGTAAATGAACCCATTAAATTTTAATAACATCCTACTTTACAAACTGTGTTCCATCTGTTATTTCTGCTCCAGTGCTATCTCCTATTAGACTCAAAATAATACATTTGAAAAAAAATGTTTACAGCTTTCTTCCAAAGTAACCTAGTAAATCAGTAGTTTTGCTGCTATGAGCAAGCCTATTTTGGTCTTTACAACCCCTACTTGCTGGAGGTAGCCCACTTAAATTATTAGCCTGTCTATCTTAGGGAATAAGGACTACTTTTAAAGGAGACAGGTGAACCTTCCCTTACTCACATCTAGAGAAGTGAAGTCCTAGAAAGCAACATGGAATGGGCTCTTTGGAATTAAACTGACAAACTGAAAAAAACCTCTTATGAAATATTTTCCCCTTTCAAGTAAGTGAAAATCCTTTAAACATTTTGTTTACGTAAGACAATCTACAATGTTAGGGAATCAAAATTCTAAAATGTTCACCACCTACAATCCTTCATTGTTTTTGAATTGCTTTCTTTCTTCTGGTGACCTTGAGTCTATAGTTTTTAGATACTAGAAGCAAGTATCCCACTTCTGCTATCCTTTTGACATGGCACCTCTCTTGTGCTTGGCTTTTTCATCTGTTATCCTAAATTTATGTGACATGAATTCTGCTACAGATTGGGAAACAAGAAGCTTATTGCTGTTCATTATTCATTACCCTTCAACACACAGTGGGGCTACAATTTCAAACTCATCCCTTCCTAAAACCAGATACATTACTGATACTGAACTTTGAGTTGCAAACCACAACTCTTCCCATGCATCTCTTTCACTCTTCCTCCAGTAACTGGATTGCTCCTGCAATTTTGGCTTAAAAGCACCCATTTCTATTCTAGATTTCCCCCATATATGGTTCTGCTCAAGTCAACCTGGATATTTATCTCTCATAGATATACTTCTGTTTTGAAGTCTCTTTACCACTTATGTACTGATGTGAACAGTTATTCTACTGCTGCAAGATTTCTGGTTCAAAAATTTTCAGTCAAATTTTGGGAAGGATTAAAATTGGTGACACCAAATGGAAAAGTCTTCTTATTTTCTTGTGACAAATGCAGGGTTTCAACAGCAGTTTTCAAAGCTGAAAGGGAAGTTAGATGAGTGCATATATGCACAATATGTGCACACATTTACCCAATTCAAGCAGAGCATATTTCGGATGCCAAAGTTATACGCTTTAACAATGTAGATGGTAGGGAGCTACATGAAGATACTGAATATCAGATCAATAAGTAAGATTCAATACTTCTGAATGGGCCAATGGGGGGGGCAGTCAGGTACACTCATCCTGGGCCTCAGAGGGCTAAGCTTAGAGTTTATAACTTTATTCTAACAAAACTCCCACCCCAGGCCTCAGACAAACTCTGCACAGACCTGTTTCTGATATACTGCACCATCAGTTTCAGTAGAGTATGCAAGCTGTTTGCAGGAATAACTAACAGTGGTGCAAATTTTGAAAATGCATGGACTGCAAGCCTTTCAATAAATGTGGGAAATAAGCCATTTGGTACTCACAAATTGCCTTCGAAGTTTAGTTTTGACCCGCTCTGTCTTGGTTTCTGTGGGGTGGATAGAATAGCTGAGGGCACTTAAGTGGTTGTCCACTGAAAGGCTCTTCCTCATGTAGAAGGACCGAGTTCTCAAGGATCTGAAAGGCGCCTCGTCCATGGCAGTGCACAGCCTTGGCTGAAGGGCAGGTTCCCTCACAGATTCGGCACAATCATCTTCCAGCTGCCATGCTTCTCCTAGGACAGGGGAGTAAGAGAGAGAAAAGGACCCATAGCCATCAAATAAGGATCCAAAATTAACACTTTTGCTACAAGATTTCCACTTCTTGTCAACATTTTCCTCCGAAGGATAAAAACCATGTTTCCATTAATTTAAGCAACTGTGTTTCCTTCCTGGAGTGAAGATTGCCAGCATGAACAGCATGTTTTTCTCATTCTTTATTAAGTGTGTACTGCCTAGGTGTACTGCCTAGATGAATAAATATTATTGGTGTGTGTACTCACACAGGTAACGTAAACCCTTGTCAGTAGCTGAAAGATGAGGATGCAAGCAGTATATCACCTATCTTTTTGCTAGCATGAAAAGAGGTCAAAATGAGGGTGCAGAGTTAAGTGAACATTCTATGGACAAAAAAAAAAACAGTTTGAGAAAGAAGAACATGCATACAAAAGGCAATAAATATTTTTATGAGAAAAGACTCAAAAAAGGTCTATTAAAAATTGAAACCTCTTAGCACAGTACACGCTGCACAAATATAAGGAGCTGGTGTTCTATCTAGTCTGCAACAGTTTAACTACCAGAAGCTCTCTAGGGTCTCAGGTGGAGAAGTTTCCCACAGCTGCTACCAATGATAGCTGCAGAGGCCCTGATCCAACCTCTCTGGTAACTGGCACAAGGGAAGCAGGCAGAGGCCCAACGGAGAGCTGTGCAAAGGTTATCACACCAGGAAAAGACAGGCACTGTGAGGACCCTCCCCTGCCGTCAGAGGGGTGCCAGTGGCAGCCAGAAACACAAACCACCCTATCATGGTCCTTCAGAAACACAAACCACCCCATCATGGTCCCTTCAGTCCCATCCTAATCACAAATAAACTAATTTGAGAGAGTGTCACAAAAACTCTCCAAAACTATTTCAAAGCAAATGATGTAGACAATATAACAACCCTTCTCCTTTGGAACACTATGAAAGCGGTCAAAAATTAGCAAAACAGAACAAGACACCACAACTCTCTCATCACGCTACAAACATGAGCCAAGGACTCCTTAAACCTATAGAACAAAAAAGGAGGGAACTCAACTCACTAGAAATCAACAAAACAATGATCAATATTCTATATTCAAAACAACACTTTTACGAGTCTGGAGGGAAAAACTTCAGACTATTAGCAAACAGGCATAGGGAAAACAACCATCATCATCAATCTTTATTACGGTCCAGAGACCCAACAAATCGTTACAAAGCAATGCAAAATCAACCAAAATAAGAATTCACTGCATCACTAAAAAAGACGGCAACATAACAAAGAAATAAACTCAGAATTTGAGGAATTTATTCCAACCTAACCCACCTGAAGAGGAAATCAGAAAATTCCTAACAGGGCTGACCATGCCAACCTTAACTGATGAGGAACAGAAATTCATTGACAGTCCTATCACCCCAGAGGAAATAGATACGGTCCTCAAAAAACTGAAACCACACAAAGCCCCAGGGCCAGACGGCTTTACAGAAGAATTCTATAAGAAATTCAAAGAACCCCTGATGCCCTACATGACCTGTCTATTTAACGACATCATAAAAGAGGGCCCCATTCCTAAAACCTGGACCTCCTCTAAAATAGTATCTATCCCAAAACCACTCAAAGACAGCCTCAAAGTAAAATCATGCCGCCTGATATCATTAATAAACCAAGACTACAAGATATTCACATCAATCTTGGCTAACCGCCTAAAAAAATTTCTACACAAATTAATAGCCCCAGACTAGACTGGCTTCATCCCTGGTCGCAATATAACAGACCCTATTAGGAAACTACTGAATATAATCAAACACAGCAAAACAACAAAATTCCCACTGACAATTATGCGCCTAGACATCCTCAAAGCCTTTGATTACTTAGAATGGAAATGCCTACTAGCAGTACTAACCAAAATGAAATTTGGTCCCAAGTTCTTACAAACCCTCAAACAAATTTACTCCCAAGCCTCAGCATAATGCAGGACTAACAGTGTGGACTCTAATACCATAGCTATCCGAAGAGGCACAAAACAAGGATGTCCACTGTCTCCCTTCCTCTGAAACCCCTAGCAATCTGAATCTGAGCAGCAACAGACATCAAGGGAGTGGAAACAAAAGGTAGAACCTATAAATTAGGGCTTTTTGCAGGTGACCTGATGTCACGCCAGACCCCATAAACACAGTAGCTGCCCTAAACAAAGAACCCAACACATTTGCAATGGTGTCAGGTATTTGAGGCTATGTGTTTCAACACACACTCCCTCAAATATCCAAAAAGAATTCACCAACATCACTAAGGTAAAACTCCGCCACACCAAGTTCAGATACCATGGGGTACAAATAACCAGAAACCTCAACAAACCGTACCTCCACAATTACAACCTCCTGTGGTGACAAATCAACAAAGACTTGAGAAAATGGAACAACACCAACTTCAGCTTCTCAGACAAAATAGCCATGATCAAAATGATCACCCTCCCAAAAGTAACCTACTTATTCCAAACCCCCCAATCTGATTCCCCCAACCCAACTTCGCAAATGGCAGAAAAAATTACACTTGTTTATCTTCTCACACAAAAAAACAAGAATAAACACTAAAAACTAGGGGGTACTCAAATGCCCTGGCTAACACATCACCAATTACATGTCTTCTTAAACAATCCAGTAATAAAATCAGCACCAACCAGGCCTAAAACAGTTGGATGGCGCCTTGTCTCCTCCTTCCAGCAACTCCTGCAGTCAAGCTGGTGCCAAATGTATTGCTCTGCTTTCATTTGGACCACATCAGCAATACCAAGAGGGTGGTCTTATTGTCTGAGCAGTCCAGGACCTTCATACACACTGCTCAGGGTTACGCCGCAGAGAGGTTACTTTGGTGCTGCTAACAGCAAAAACAACACGGGAGGCAGCAGTTACAAGTTATCCGTCTCTGCAGCCACAGTAAGCACTGTGATTTTCCAGTGGTTTGACTTCGCCCCCGGAGGTACACTGCACTGCCTGCTGAGACACATGGGGCAAGCAACAACTCTGACACACAGAGAAAAAAGAAACTGAAAATGGAGGTGCATTTGTAATACAGGTAATTTTCTAAAGGTAGTTTTTAACTAGAAAATGTTTAGAACCATGTTTCTTAATGATTTAAGGCCGGAGTCAGCATTTTTTTTCAGCAGGGGGCCGGCCCACTGTCCCTCAGACCTTGGGGGGGGGCGGACTATATTTTGGGGTGGGAAACTGAATGAATTCCTATGCCCCACAAATAACCCAGAGATGCATTTTAAATAAAAGGTCACATTCTACTCATGTAAAAACACCAGGCAGGCCTCACAAAGAACCCAGAGATGCCTTTTAAATAAAAGGACACATTCTACTCATGTAAAAACACTCTGATTCCAAGACCGTCCACGGGCCAGATTTAGAAGGTGGTTGGGCCGGATCAAGCCCCCGGGCCTTAGTTTGCCTACGCATGATTTAAGGAGTCTCCTGAAAAGGCGGCTACAAAAGAGCTGTCCTGAAGCTTTTCTCAAACCTTTGGCAGAACATAAATTGAATTAATAATAAAAACAAAGTATACAGGATTACTTACATTTATTGAAACTTACCTGTAGAGGGCACTGTACATCCTTTTTGACAGTCAGGGGCAGAGTGATTTCTGTAATGCTTCTGTTCTGGCATATCTTTCTTGTACAATTTTGAATCTAGAAGTGGAACGCGGTTTATGATTGGGGACTGAGGAATGCTGGGAAGAGTCCTTGACTTTCCTAGTACAGGTCTCTGTGGCTTTCTGTCTAATGACCTTTAAAAGGAGAAAAGAAAGAGATTGCAATCAGATGTGCCTATGATTACATTTTTTATTCCTACTAGTGAAGTAGCAGATTTTTGAAATTAGGTGAGTTCAGAACACAAGACCCACCTTGAGTTGAAAACAGTTTTTACTCCGTATTCCAAAACCCCTTTGAATTTAGCCATGTTCATCATGAGCAAACCCCAACACCATCTCCAGAACTTACATTCAAGAAATAGTAACAAGATGAAGGGGCAAAGAGGGGGGCGCTACTCATTTATATTTTCATTACACTGAAAAGCTTTACCAAAGCTATTGGCACAAAACAGGATTTCAGGGCCTTTAGTAAAGATCCTGGACCACTCAGAACTACAAATCCAATACATCTCATGCCAATGAAAATACAAAGATAAGCCTTCCATTTCAGCCTGCCACCGCCACCAGTCACTGCTTCTGGAAGGTACGGTAAGTCAGGGAGATTCCAAAAGGGGGAGGCAAGCTAGCTGCAAAGATCTTTACTGAGCCTTTTTTACAGACATTCTCAGACAATCAGGTGCATTTTATGTTTCTTTTTTTACTCCATTCAATTCAAAATGTGGATTCTAGCTTAACTTCAGTAAGAAATTTCTGGCAGCTAAGAGATGTTAGATGGCCGCCTGTATGTATGAGATTTCTGCATTGCAGAGAGTTGGCCTAGATGGCACTTGGAGTACCTTCCAACTCTACAATTCTATGCTTCCAAGATTCTAGGGTGGCTAAATATTATGCTGTTTCTCCCATATCAGTCTCTACAGCCACAACAGGCAACTGTAACTCTCCAATAGTTTGACTTTACCCCAAAGGCACACAGAGACCCAAAAGGCCAATCCTTAATGACTGACTCACCTCCTTTCACTTGGATTGGCTCCAATTAACAGAAAAGGCGAGAAGTCTTATTTTCCAAGGCCAAAAAACTCTCCTGTCATGCTGATTGGGCAGCTCTGGGATACTGGAAGCAGGGACTCAGCTGCAGAAATAACAATGGGTCTTTCACTCCCTGCAACCCTGGACCACTACACCGCTGCTTACAGATAACCATCACTGGAGTCAGAGAAAAGAACTCACACTTCTGGGGAACTGATGTTTTGATCTGCTCAGCTGCAGGCAATGATTTATTAAGGATGAAGTAAAGAACAAGGGATACATGAAGAAGCATGGAGCCCAGTCTCAATTATTATTTCACAAATTTTTTTTGGCCTATTTTGCTTTCCAGTTCTGACAGTGGAATATATTCTCTGGGGATTTGCAGATCTGTGCTTTCTTTCTTTATCTCTCTTTCTCTCTCTCTCTCGCCAAACTAGATGATATTTAGAAACACATGAAACATCTCCATTAAGGAAAAAAACGTAAAGCACAGCATCAGATGCTACAATCAAGAGAGGCACAGCAGAGGGAGGGACTGGGCTAGATGGGCAAATATTGTGATTTTTAATTCCTTGTAGAAGGCAAAAGAGTCACCCAGCATCTGCAAATCCCTCCCAAAAGCATACCTACCACACAGCCTTGCTGCAGGTGGTGACATTCCACTAGCAAAGGCCCTCAAGGAGAGTACATGAAGATTGCACAAAGGTCAGTTATAATCAACTGCACCAAGGCCTAAAAATAACTGTTGTTTTGCTTTCTCAGCTGTGGAACTCATAATCAATGTTTGACAAGGATTTTAAAAATTCTTCCACCTAAAGTTATTAACTAGTCATTAGCAATGCCTACCTGCTGAGCAAACCATGAGGGTATGGAAGATTGTATTGCTACTAAATTTTGCCCAGATGTATTTGCTGCTTGGGAATCAAAGCTATGACATGAAGGGGTACTTGCCAATATTAAAAGAATGGCCACAGTATACAAACATTTTGAGTTGGATAATAATTTTAAGTTCCAAATACAGTATATAGGGTTGATAAGGTGTTTGGATCGGGCAAACCACTGGTGCCCTAGAGCCTTATCCCTCTTGACTCATAAAAACTAGCAGGGATGGGATAACTGACTGGGCTGGGGAGATGATTAATGCCTCCTTCTGAGAAGGGGTAGTGCCTGCCTACTTGGAGGAGGCAGTGGTAAAACCACTCCTCAAGAAACCCTCCCTGGCTTTGGAAAATCTAAGTAAGGACCAACCAGCTACTAATCTCCCCTTCTTGAGCAAGGTTCTTCAGCAGGTGGTTGTGGACCAGAACTTTTAGATCCCTTTCAATCGGAGTTTTGGCCCAGTTTTGGCACAGAATATGCTTTGGTCACCCTATATGAAGACTTCTGTTGGAAGAGAAACCTCATTGACCTCTCAGCAGCTTTTGATACCACTGACCATGGTATCTTTCTGGAGCAGCTGTCCGAGTTAGGAATGGGTGGCACCACTTTGCGGTAGTTCCAGACCTACTTGGATGGATGTTTCCAGAGGGTGTTGCTTGGGGAGTATTCTTCAGCCCCGTGGTGCCTTTAATGTAAGGTTCCTCAGGATGTGATTTTATCCCCTATGCTGTTTATCATCTACATAAAACCCCTGAGTGGGGTTATCTGGATGATTGGAGTATGCTGTCACACATAGCTGATATGCTGATGACATACAGTGCTACTCCTTTAAATCTGCAGGTGAAGCAGTGAATGCACTGAACCATTTTCTTGCCTTGGTAGTGGACTGGATTAGAGCCAACAAACTGAAGCTCAATCCATGTAAGTCTGAGGCACTGTTGGTGGATGGTTCCCTAGGCCAGATGGATGGAAGGTGGCCTGTTCTTGATGGGGTTACACTGCCTCTGAAGGAGCAGGTACCTGGAGAGACTTGGGGGTACTTCTGGACCCATTGCTGTCATTTGAGGCTTAAGTAGCCTCAGTGGCACAGAATGCCTTCCATCAACTTTGGCTGGTGGCCCGGCTGCACCCCTTTTGGACAGGGACAGCCTAACTACTGTTGTCTATGCTCTGGTAACTTCTAGGTTAGATTACTGCAACACATTATACATAGGGCTGCCTCTGAAAACGGTAAAGAAACTATTGCAGAATTCAGCAGCCAGGTTACTCACTGGGGCAAGACAGTTTGAGCATATTAATGTAGGGATGAGCAACCTGCAGCCCTAAATATGCTGCTGGACTACACAGTGGCGTAGCGTGGGTTGTCAGCACCCGGGGCAAGGCAAGTAATTTGCGCCCCCTAACCGCACCGCACGCCTGGCACCCCCCCCTCCACAGTGGGCGGCGACCCGGCGGCTCGGATCAGATTCGCACAGCCAGCACTGCAGTGAGAGAGAGAGTGAGTGAGCCAGGTAGGGGCAGAGAGCTATGAGTGCAAGCGCCCCCCCCCCAGATGTTGTGCCCAGTGCAGCCGGGCCCCCCTGCACCCCCCACGCTACGCCACTGGGACTACAACAACTTTTTTAGAGGGAGAGCATTTCCTTCAGGGCTGCAGTGGGAAGGATAGGCTACAACTCTCACTTCCCCATATAATGCAATTCTGAAAAATATTGCAGCCTCAAGCCTGCTATTATTAATTTTCAACTGATGTGGCTGTGTCATGCCTCGTTTGGCCTTGAGCTAATTTGGACATATGCCTGGCTATTCTAAACAACCAGAAAAACCAAAGCCTCCCAGATTTATTTTGGTGACCCACTTAAGGCAAGAGCTCTCAGGTAAGTGTAAAGAGAGCTGCAGCCTTAATTTTCCACCTTCAGCACAAGCCAGAATTAAGTGCAGGATGCACCTATACATGCGGCAGGTGTTGTCAGAGTATAATCCACTGTGGACTTCATGACAAATGTCAAGTAATTCATCCTAAAATTCCATTACAAAATATTCCACTGGATATGGGGCCGCTCTAACATTCAGAGTGGCTTATGGTGCAGTTCAGAGTCAGTGTGCCATTAAAATATCCACTGGTAAATTACTTTTCTTTAGAATCATCCCCATATCAAAAATCCTGGATGGATATTTTACATAAAAGTGCTAGTGCTTTCAAATAAGTGATCCATTACAGTATGTGCATTTTGAGATCATGCAGTCATGTAGAAGACTGTACTCCATAACTTGATGCCCGGCAGACACCAGTCCTAGATTTTTCTGCATGGTATTCAACTAAGTTTTAGTCATAGTAGACCCATAGAAATTACCTAAAATTTCTGTTATCTTTGACCATTGACCATGCTGGTTGGGACTGATGGGAGCTGAAGTCTAACTAAAACTGGAAGGTCACAGGTCAGCCACCCCTAAATGCAAAGTGGACTAATTGTACTTCATTGAATTTTCACTCATAATTAAATCTTTCCATTCAACTACTCTGGAGCAACTTTTCAGATTTATTTAGTTGTCTTATTAAATGCAAACCAGACAAACATTCAAAACTCATCTCTATAGTTTTGGGGTGTGGAAAGAGTAACACATATCAAAGGCTACTTCCTCCTCAAGAACTCCTTCCTCCTTTTCTATTGTACATTATAATTAGTTGATGGATAGTAGTTTTATTGAATTAAACTAACTGGCATTTGCTTGTCTATAACATCCTTTTAGCAATGGTCTAAGACCCAAACAAATCAGAAAGTTTGATTCTTAATAATATTTAAATTGAGACCACTGGAATTCTTTCATCTCTAACACTCATTCAAAAGAGATGTCTGAAACCAGCTTGAAATGAACTGTACAGTCTCTTCCCATATATCTGAAGTTGTACTTTCACCTATTGGACACTGTCGCCTCTCGATTCTTGAACTGAGGATCAGCAGCAGTAAGCAATGCAGCCAGGTACTAATAAAGACTGTTTCTTAAAGATCCATCTATTAATTTAAACTGTGCAACATTTGCTTATTCGCGATATACTGATAAGATCATGATAAGATCATGAGATAACTGTAATTACCCAAAAGATAGCTATCTCACAAAGTTGTCGTCACGGCCAGAACTCTCTTCACACAAATGCAATTATGTATACATCAATGGAAGAAAGCTTAGCAGTTGATATTTCTATCTCAATATATTAAGTATGATGATGAACA